CGGCGCTGGGCTGCTCCTGCTGGCCGGGGGCCGTTACCGTGTCGTGCCGTGTCGTCCCGTGTCCCCGGCCTGGTTTTCCTTTGGCACTGGCCAAGCCCCGGGAGGCCGAGTGCGGCGAGGGCCTGTGTTTGCGGGGCGTTTATCCGTTACTGCCTAATGGGCCTGGTCGTGCAAAGCCCCCGAAAAGCAGCGCTGCGTCAGAGTTCTCCAGAACAGATCGCAGAGGCCAGGCTGCAGGCCTGTTGTCTGTCTCTCTGCTTTCTGGTGACCAGCACTTGAGCGGTGGAGCGCTTCTGTGCTTGCGCCCAAGGAGGGCTGGTGGTGGTAAACGTTGGCAGCCTGTATATACATGCTGGGGGTGGGTCCATGGTCCTGGTTTCGGGGCTGACTGATGTGGGCCTGGTCACATCCACGTTGTTCGAGGTAGTTCCTTCTCAGACAAACCGGCAGGATCAGCTTTGCAGATCAGATGGTGCAAACTCTGCTGTGGTGCCCTGTGTTTCTGTGAGGCTACTCACTCTCAGACCTCTCATACTCACACCTCACTCACTGCTCAACTGCTACCAGACCAAATTGTCAGAGCAGTCTTGACACAATTCAGTAACCTTTAGTTAGGACTCGCTGCAATGATATGCTACTGCTATTGCTATTGCATCCGGGCCTATTGCATGGCAACAGGGTTCTGGTCAGTGCATCTTCTCATAAATGCTTTAAAGATTTTTCAATTTAAGGCAACATGGTTTCGTACCAGAGGGACTGCAGTACTAAGCTGTAGTATAATCCCATGGTGTGTGAACAGGCTACTGAACCCAAGCAAAGCATAGCTTTGAGCAAGTGGCTGAGAAGACTCTTTGAGGCCCCAGAGGACTTGTGGCCCTCAGCAACGTGCTGGATTTTTAATGTCAGAATGACTTTAAAGTGCTTTGCAGTCTACTAATATGCAGCTTGTTTAATCATTGCAAAGTGGCACATGATGCACGCATGCTTTGAGGAGAGACAGGAGCGGACATGAGGACATGATGAGGACAGCTGGGATAGCATTGGCTTTCTCTGTTCAGGGCAGTTTTCTAAATGTGGCATTGTCTCATCTATGCTGTCTCTAGGGAACGGAGCCTGCAACAGCCTTGTCAGCCGTATTTACGTTTTCTCTTGGAAGAGCTGTTTGTTGTGCTTCAGCCGAGAACCCAGGAACAAATTGAATGTGGGTGCAGCGTGGCCAGCTGGGAATGCAGCACCCAGGAAGAAAAATGGAATGAAGTTATCAGATCAGCTTTAGATTTTATAAAGACACAACACTCATTACGTGACAGGTATGTATATATATGTATATAGAGAGAGAACAAAGTATTCATTGGCTTGACAGTTTTCTGAAATTGAGGTTCTATAATTATGTACTTTACACATGTGAAGTGATAGTAGAATAACTTAAATTAGTACAGAGGGAACAACACGAAGCTTAATTTTGAAGACTCTGTCTTTAGGATTGGGATGTTTTCCTCTGCTACATTAAATTTAATCCATTACACACATTAGTAGGTTCATGTATCAGGAATAATTATTTCCGATTCCCGCTTCCGATCAGCTAAAAGCACGCTAGTGACAGTATTGCTTTTTAATGCGGTTTCTACTTTTCTGTTAATTGGGTTCATACCAATGTGCAGTAGGGCTGCCACCCTGTGGCTTGTTACCGAACAGAACCATTTAACTTCGATGAAGTTGCTAAAATGAAGCTGGCTAGCTTTTGAAAACAAGAATTCTGAATTTGGAGCAATTGTTCCCATAGTTCAGTAACCCTGCACAAGGTCTCCAGCAATGTTATGGAGTGTCTTAATACCGTTTTAATTCTTTCTGATCTTCAGCCCAAAGGGTCTGAGGCATTGCAATTTACACTGCTACTGCAGGGTAGATTGTTGTGATGTCTTCTCCTTAACAGTACTTTTAAGATGCTCTATAGCTGTATCACAAGAGATGCTGACTTTTATTCTTGAGAGGAGAGGGTATTTGTTTCTGAATAGCATAGACAAGTTATGAAGGAAAAGGTCTGTAAACTCTAAGTTTGCTTGAGCTTTGACTGGACTGCTCTTTTTTAGCGTAACGTAAATGCATACATAAATTTGGCAGAAAACGTCTCCTAGCAATTATACATCCATTGTATATCTCCACAAACTTACTCTTATTTTTTCAGGAAATCACTTTTCTCTAGCACATATTCCAGAGAAATGCATCGTCATCACCGGCCAGTAGGAAGATAATGTTTTAATGATGAAGAAATGAACCTTTGGCATTGCAGGCTTTCGGCTGCTTTGTCTACTGAGGTTTCCTCATTTGGACTAGGACACGTTTTCAAGATTGCATCTCCAAATATATGTTTGGAAATGTGCAAGCACATGCAAATAATTATTATCACATTAATACGGAATGCAGATAGGGTTATTGGGCAGCTAGCTAATTTTGCATGTCAGTTCACAGTTGTGCATGTGATTTTATTTCACATCTGTACTGTTACGGAGCTGGTTAACTTTAGATGTTGGTACTCCTCCCATGTTCTGTAAGATTAATCCCAGCCTATTTCACCACTGTCTGATTGAACTTATGTTCTCCGCCTCCTGGTCTCCATCCCTCCTTGCAGCTCTGTAAGTTGGCTCCACGGCTTCTTCCACTAGTGTGATGTTAGTGCTTTCCCATCTGCAGGAATTGTGTCCTTTTCTTCTTCTTTCTATTGCATATTCTAACTGTCGTCTCAAAAGCTGTCCTGAAATCATACAGCGAAGGCATAGATACCATGTCGGGCTTTGTCCCTGCCTTGCTATGTGATTTTGAACCGTTTCATCCTTTGTTTCTCAATCCATTGTTTGGAAAGTAAAGAGGAGATGGGGGGAGGGGCTGTTTATTGTGCTGCTTGGGACTTGTGATACTTAGGTAGTAAAAATAAGGATAATTGAACTTTAGGACACTGCATATATTTTTATCTTGCAATTACAGCAATGAGAGTGAATGAAGACACCGTTTCATTATGTGGTTACTCAGATCTAACCACGGACTTCTGTCAAAAAATCACTCATCTAACTGAAATAAATGCTTGATTATCTAGATTTTTTTGGTTTTGTAGGGTTCATTTTCAATCAGATAAGCTTACCATAAAATCTCAAGATCCAGTGTGAGGTAGGCTATGGGAAAATGTAGGCAAGGAGAAGAGAACTGGACAGCCCCTTGAGGCAGCCCACGGTGAAGGCTGGATTAAGAGTATTGTACAACTGCATTTTACGTACTGTGGGCTCTGTGCAGAAAAGTGATATGTTTTATATTTGAAGAAAAGGTACCTAGGAGCAATCCATATCCTGGAAATTCCATAAAAATGAACTTTTTCCGGAATGATCATCAGCAACGTGCGTATGATATTGCAGATTATTTATGAGAAACCTCCCACAGTTGGGAGCCAGCAGGGAACAAGCTTAAATCTGTGACAAGAGATCATTCAGGTGGGGAATGCTTCGCCCCAGGACTTAGTGTATCAGGTGAAATTATAAACTTAAGTGAGTCTTCTCACATTTCTCCGATGATGTGGCATATGTTCAATATGATAACGCATGCCAGCAGTGTACTCCATTACACTGCTACCTCCCTGGCATTAGTAGCACTAATCCACACCACATCCACAGTATTCAGACCTTGAGCAAGTTTCTGTTTAATTTTATAATATACCTATAACTTTATAAAATATAAATATTTATAAAATCTTATACGCTGTAAATAAATGTATTTATGATATAAACATAGGAACAAAATGGCAGCAAAATACCCTCAAAGGAAAAGGCAGATGATCAGGATGAGGCTTTTCTTTAGTGAACTTTACGATAATTTAATACATATTCATAGATTCAGCTTCTGAAACTGAATAGTACTTACAGGCTAGGCATACCAAACTCTGTTGGCAATAACAAACATGGAGGAAACAGTACAATTGGAAGGCAGCACACTATTACCCAAAGTTATGTCCTGTGAGACCCTGGGTGCCTTTTAGGAGATACAGCGTGTCCCCCTTCAGCTGTTGGAAGGGTGTGGCCTATCTTATGGGCTTTTACACAGAGAGTTTCTTTCTGTACGCCTCAGCATCTGTGTTTATACTGTTGTTTTATGAGGATCTTGAATGGTGATGAATTTTCTTTGCAAGGAGATGACAACATACAGCTCCCAGTAGTCATGCTCCACAGAAAACACGAAAACATTATCTAGAGTATGATTTCTCTTCTATGAGGGCTAGCAATGCCAGGAGCCCAAATACAGAGGACTGTCCGGTGTTTCTGACCCAGCTTAGGGCATTATTTTGTATAGGTAGTGCTTAAAGCACCTCCCCAGTCCTATATATTGATAACCAAAATGTTCTTGAGCTCCAGAGGCAAAGTCCAGGGGGGTGACCAAGGTACTACAGATATTGGTGAGCAGAAGGAAGAGCATGGAGAAAAGATTTGCGGAAAGATACTAACTGTGGCTCCTCAGCAGTGTCACTCCCCCTGCTATGTGCAGCTATATCCAAAGCGATCTGGGGGTATCAACTTCAGCAAAGCCTGTTGCCCTACCGCAGCAGAAACATGTTAAGCATGCTTGGAAAACACCTACTGACTGTCTCAAGCCATTCTGTGGACTTAAGTAAGGGAATATCTAAATTCCCCAGATTTTGGTCAGGCTTAGGCATGAGGTAAGAATGGAGCTGCTTGGCAATGTCAGGAAAGAGGTACTTCAGGGGCTTGTGTCAAACTTTGGCACCAGGGAACTCTACGACTCAAATGGAGTACTGCAGAGCTTAGTAGCCTCTAGGGTTGGGCAACAAATGACCTGTGGTTTTCAAGGTCATAATTTTGGACATAGTGGTTTAAATTTTGTTTAAATCTCATGTTATATATTTTCTTGAATGTGGTCTCTTGGCTTTAGTGACCTCTAAATATATTAGGTACCAGACACAAATAGCAAAGAGAGTCCCCACTAAGAATTTCTAGCCCATAAAAGAATACAGCAGCTTGATCTCAAAAAAAAGCGAGAAGAGCATGAGACTGTGGTGAGACCAAGACACGCGGTACCTTTATCACTTTAGCTTCTAAGGCTACAGCTACACTGGTAAATAAAACAGGGCCAGGGCATGTGGCCTATTTTTCATACTGCCCAATTGTTATAGCATGGTCCTCAGCATGGTTTTGGCCTACACTAACTAATTTTCTCCTAGACAGGGTCCAAGCATGATTTGGGAAGTGTATGTGCCAGGGACAGTCTCACCCTCTGCTGAGAGTGGAATGAAATTTACGTATGTGTGGACGTGGGCCCTGCCACACCACTGGACTTCAGGACCAGAGGATGGTCCATAGCCTGTTTTACTTGATAGTGTAAATACAATCTGATAGAGAAGACCCTTTAATCAGCCTTCCCTGTTCCTATCTTTATATTCATTTCAAAGTGCAGAAGTACCTTGCGATTTCCAAGCGCCTAGGAGAACAGCTTATAAGTTTGTGCACCAGAAGAGCTAGCCTCTATTTCTAAGTTTATACTAAGCCTACATGTGATTGTGAGACAATTACTTGTCTTCTGTGTGCCTCATTTTTTCCCCATCTGTAAAATGACAGTGACCTCCTATACAAGAACATTTGGTCATGAGGTGATGACACATGCTCTAAGTTAACTGCCATCTCCTGTTTAATTTCTGCATTGACTTTGAGCTGCAAGCAGTATATAAAAGGCCCTACGTAAGAACTCAGTGAGGAAAGACTGTTCCCTCTCTGGTCAACTTGGCGATCAGAAAGCATCACGAGAGACAGGATGCTGAAGCAAGAGGCCGCACTGTCACTTGGGTTACTTGTCACACACGATGGTCTTTGCCTCATATCTGACCGGGGAGGGATGTGCAGTTGCAGCAATCTGGGAAGCCATCCAGTGGAGCAGCTATCTGTGTAAGTGCATCCCTGGGAACATTCGCTGCCTGTGCCCGCTCCTCCTCCTCTGCTGCTGTAGCGCGGGATTTCACAGATGTTCCTCCCAGAGAAGGCAGCTGCAGTTCTCAGACTCCCTATTTCCTTCTCCCTGGTGGTCTGGCTCCACCCGGCTGTGATGGAGCTGCTGATAGTTCCTCCCATCCCCATCCCTTCCTTCCAAGGACTGAGGAGTAGTAGAGAGAGATTATTCTATGCCTTCTCTTTCCTCTTTTCTCCTGTCTGTGTAGCTGTGTAGAGGCTCCTCCTGGAGCAAATTTGCTCTCTCCCTTTCTTTCCCTAGTGTTTCTGATCCCTATTTCTTAAACAGCGTATAAACAACTGAGAGAAAACTTGAGTGTATAGATACTCCATATTTACAGTTGAATATGGTCTTTGATACAGTTTACATAGCAGTGTGGGATGTAAATAAGGGTTGCTTTTTTTTTTCTCCTTGCTTAGGGAAAATTGCCTCTTAGGTTTTAAAGTGAGGGAACGGTTTGCATTGTTTTTTATTCTCTTGCTTTTGCTGTGATTTTTTTTTCTTTGCAAGAAGGTTTGGATCTTTCCACTCCTCATTTGAGGACCATGCAGCTTTACACACGCATGCGCCTAGACTTGAAAATGCATTTCATCTGTTTACAAGTTAGAGTTTAAGGGCAAAACTCTAAGGCAACAGAATGCGTCATCTCGGGACTGCTGTGACCCTAGGGTATGTCCACGCCACAGTTTGGAAATGCAGTGACTGCATGCCTAGACCTACTCAAAGTCAATTCTATGTAGCTAGGTCAGATACATTAGTATGAATATAATTATTCATTAGTAATGAACTGAAAAAAAAAATCAGTTATTTGCAGAATTTGACTGGTCTTGGAGTCTGCCAGCAGCAGTCCTTGCAAAGCAGTGAGGCACAAGCAAAGAATGTTTGTTTCCTATCCATTCTGGAGTGTATGTTTTAGGTCAGACCTGTGACATCCTATCGGCGGTGACAGAAATTCACCAAGCTGTAACACACCAGTAGCTTTGCAGCACTAAGGACAGGGATGCCATTATTAGCAGTTGCGTTGCTTCCCCTCCATAACGCACACTGGACTACAGAGCATAGAGCAATCCACAGATGGGTAGTGAGCGTAAAGTTGTGTTTACTGTATCGGTCTTGATTTGTTAGAACAGCCTTACTTTGGGAGCAGTCAGTGCTATACAGGCTAGCAATGAATTGGGACAATTTGAATCGCTGGATGTTAGGAGAAATTCTGTATTTAGATTTTTCTATGCAGGCAAATACATAGAAATTACAGGCTATTCTGTGGTTTTCTGCCACAAATATATTTCTTTTTTTTTTTCCTTTCTTCATTGAAATTTCATTTGAAAACCTGTCTCTTTTGTGAGGCTATGAGTGATAATCTACATTCAGCAGTACAGACAGAAATCAGAAATACCGTGCACTTTTATCAGTTTATATCCTCTCGGTATATGAGTTTTGTTCTCAGATGGACTGCTTATTAGCTGCAATTAGCTATTGTCTTTTGCATTGTTTTTACTACAAATAGTAATGAATAATAATGACAGTGGGGTCTCAGGAAAGATTCTTTTTGGAAAACATGTGTGATTCATTTACAGAGAAACATATTTTTCTGGGCAGACACAACTGTGGGGTTACCAATACGAATGCTTCAAACAAACCTGATTTTGTATTCATGTCATTATATCTAGGATTCAAACCGACTCTCCAACAGAAGAAAACACACAGATTTTGTATGACTTTTAATAACCACAGTGTGTTTACAATTTCAACCTATGTACTAGGAGGCACTTAAAAGAATAAGCTATCTAATGGATGTACTCCTTCTGCACCTTGCAACTTGGGGAGAATGAACATCGTCTCAGCCTAGCTGCTCCAGTCAGTGCCAGACAGCAGGGGAGTGTACAGATGTTTGCAAAGTGGCTTTCTTGCCACTGCAGTGTTTCAGACTGGCACATTTCCATCACGCTGAAAGGATAAGATAAGCCTAAAACTTATTTTCTGTAAGGAAGGAAAAAAAAATGCTTGCTCTTGAAGATTTCATAGACTGAAAATTGCTGCTAGTCAAGGTAATGTGAGCTCCAGAACCAGAAGCTTAAGTACTGAATGCAGCTGAGTGAATAAGTGATTTTTCTAGTCACTAGCTGAACCGAAAAATGGGTATAAAGAATTGGGTGGAACTGGTTTT